GGTTTTCCAGAAGATTTCAAAAGGTTTGCTCTCTCTTCTTATAGAAGAGTAATATATGTATTTACATAAATTCAATAATAATCTGTTGTTGTTGTAACAAGACATAATTAGACAAATCATTAGCTTGGCTTCTTAGTCTAAAGAGACTTTTAAAGATCTAATCTGAGATTCCCTATTACTAGACAATTTTAAGGAACTGAAGTTGGCTTTATGGAAATAATAAAGCCTCTTGGACAGTACCAAAACTTTGACTGGAGTATCATATTTGAGAATATGAATAGAATAATTTTTCTTGCTACATTTATGTAAATAATCAGGCCACATTTATTAGTACTAGACTTATGTTACAGACAAATTAGTTTCACTGTAATTATCTTTGATAAAAATGGAATGATTATAGAAAAAAATTTATGTTTCAATAGAAAAAGTATGGTGTACCCGTTATCAGATTTTAGTCTGTTCTTTGTTTTTGAGGCTTTGTCATTTACCCGTAAACCTCATAGAAATCACGACAATGGATCATAGATGGACAAACTTCATCCCTGTTTCTGTGTGGGTCACTTGAGAGAGTTCACCAGAACTCATGATGATGTCATCAAAGACAGTGAAACTGCAAAGCAGGAGGGTCCATCAGATTGAAAGTGCTTTCCTCATTCCACCATCCAAAGAAGCTTTGAACTCAATCTAGAAAATTTTCTCAACTGGCTGCTCTCCAAACTCAGAAATTGAATTAATAATTTGTTCTAACTATTAAGCTTTGTTTTTCTTTTGTTTCCAAAGAAGTATCTTTATTAAATTACCTGATTGATCACTCTATACAGTGACCTAATTTAGGTGGAAAATCACCTGTACACTGGGCTTCCCTGGTGGTTCAGACTGTAAAGAATCCGCCTGCACTGCAGGGCACCTGGGTTCAATCCCTGGGTCTGGAAGATCCCTGAAGAAGGGAATGGCAACCCACTCCAGTATTCTTGCCTGGAGAATTCCATGGACAGAGGAGCCTGGCAGGCTATATTTATATTCCATGGGATCCCAAAAAGTCGGACATGACTGAACGACTGACACTTTCACTTTTTCATCTGTACACTGCCTCCTGAAATAAAACATCCTCCTGTTCATCCTGTCTCAAGTAATCCTGAGGACATGTGACTGCTCATGTTTCATGTGTTTCTATGTAAATAGCACAGATAAAAGAAACCCAGTTACACGTTATCTACAAAAACGTAGGTTGACTTACACAGATAAAGCCTGAATCTGACTATAACCTGTTTATTTTGTTTATTGGTTAAATATTGGCTCCTGGGAATCTCTGCTCCAGGGAACTTTTCAGTCCTTGGCTATTATTCTCCATATAGTCGTCAGACTAACCTCCCTAGTGCCTTGTGTTCTCCCAAGGGTTCTGAATGCCTTTCAGCAGCCTCTCACACACCAGGATCAGACAGCTGGAAAACGCAACAATAACCGTACCAGTAATGATAACAGTGACGATGTGACCCTCTGTCTAGGTGACTCAGCTGGTGGAAACAGTTACTGTGTTTTTCTTTGGCCTGACTATATTAAAAGTGGTAACCGAGAGCAATGCTCTGCTAGTTGGTCAAACTCTTGAGCCTGCTAAGAGAATGGCCAAAAGTAGGGAGAAGAGCATGGCAACCCACTCCAGTGTTCTTGCCTGGAGAATCCCATGGACAGAAGAGCCTGGTGGGCTACAGTCCTTGGGGTTGCAAAGAGTCAGACACCACTGAAGCGACTCAGCGTGCACGCACACATAGGGAAATATTAAAATTAAATAGAAAACAGACTAGACTTAAAAATTCTCTGAGCATACACAACCATTTAAGCCAGCTAAGCAAAATTAAACCGAGCTTATTTAATGAACAAAAGTAAAACATAACTTAGGTTATTTTTGGCAAATGTCTCTGATGATCCTAAGAGAAACTTCAGTCACCTTCCTAAACTGATGGAAGATAATCTCTTTTAACCAGTTTCCTGCCATCTTGAAACTCCCATTGTGATAATTGATTATTGCAAAGCTTAAGCCACTTCCTCACTTTATAAAGTGAAAGTGAAAGTCGCTCAGTTGTGTCCGACTCTTTGAGACCCTGTGGACTACAGGAGGTCAGAATTCTCCAGGACAGAATACCGGAGTGGGTAGCCATTCCCTTCTCTAGGGGATCTTCCCAACCCAGGGGTCAAACCCAGGTCTCCTGCAATCCAGGTGGATTCTTTACCAGCTGAGCCCCCAGGGAAGCCCAAGAATACTGGAGTGGGTAACCACTTTATAAGCCAGTCTGTAACATCAAGCCACTGAGTTTCTTATCAGTTTTGAATTTGAAAACTCCCAGCTGGCAATGGGAGTTGTGAAACTCTCTGTTCTTATATGCGTAATAAACTCTTACTCAATACTATTTTATTCGTGCTTTTAATTTTATCTTTCTGGATTTTTGATACCAGGAAGTCCTATTTTCCCTCCCTTTGCTATGGATGAGTAATCTATGCACCTTTTGCTCCAGGATCTCAACCTTTGCACTGGATCCCATTATCTTTCTTCTATTCACAGATATAGTTCCTGAAATTATCCTTCTTTCTCCTACGTTATTAAAATTCCTCTTTCTTGTTCGGTCTTTTCCATCATCACGTAAACAAGCTGCACTTTCTCACATTCTTCCTAAAACACAAAACCCTCATCCATCTCTAGCCATAGCACATCTTTCTGCTCCCAGTCAAGGCAAAAAGTCTGAAAGGTTGTCTATATTTGCTGTATTCAATAGATACCTTCCATTTTGTCTTGAAACCACTATAATAGGAATTTTGCCTCCAGCAATCCAAGGGTATTCTTCTCATCAAGTTTGCTGATGACTTCCGTGTTGCTAAAACCATGGAGCGATTCTCAGTCCTTGTTTTGTTTGCCACGGAACTGAAGTGTGTACCCTTTGCTCAGCGTATCCCCCTCCTCTGTGGCCTGTTTTCCTCTCTTGTGCCTTTGACGCTTCACCCTTCTGGCCTCCTCCTTACTCTGTGGACCGCACTTCCTCAGAACCCTTTGCTGGTCTCATTGTTCCTCCAGCCCCCAGATGTTCACTTGACCCAGGCCTTGGACCCCCTTATCTTTCCTGTCTTCTCTCTCCCTCCATCATCTTTTCTAGGTTTCTGGTTTTAAATATCACCTATGTGCTGATGTCTGATAGATTTCTCTTTCTAGCGGGGTTCCCATTCCTGAAATTTAGACTCATATGTTCAATAGGCATCTCAACACCTTCGCTTGTCATTTTTAAAACTGAACTCCTGATCTTCGCCTCCAGACTCGCTCATCTCATAAGCCTCCCCATCTCAGCTTTCCCATGGTGATTGCATCTCCCCAGGGTCCAGACCAGCTTGGGTCAGAGACATAGCTGAATAAGCATCCCTTCTCCAGGTTACCTGGAGGATGGACCTCCAGGACCTCCATTCTCCAGGATGGACCTGGGGAACCGGCATGTGCCATGACCTTGAACTATGTAATGGAGATAGTTCAGGGCAGCTAATTTAGATGCCCCAGAGGGAATAGGGTATTTAGCACATGAACAAATGAAATTCAAACTAAGAGCAGAATCCAGCTCCCAGGCCAGGCAGTTCCCATTCTGGGATTGACTCATGATAATTCTGATTGGAATTTCAAAAAAGATCAGGAAAATAAAGGCAGATCCTGATATTTCTTGTGTCCTTCATTGAGAGTTTTGAGGCCAGGAGCCATAGCTTATTCATCTAGCATGGTGCCCCACATACAGTGGGTACTCAGGAAACCTGTATCAAATGAAAAAAAAAAAATTCACATCTGTGTCTTTGCCAGGGAGCTAGAGAAAGTGGGAGATTTGAGAGCTCATTTAAAAGGGAGTATTGGGATGCAGAAGTCTTGTCTCTGAGAAGCTCGTTTGGGGTAGGGGTGGTTACACATCTGAAGGCATTTTTAAAAGCCTATTTAGCCAGAGTCTGTTTGTGTGCTGGGGTGTGAAACTCTATGAATGTATTATCAGCAGGGCCTTAAGATGGGTTGTGTGATTTGCTTTGGCTAGAAACAGGCTCCTTCTTCACACAATCCCTGGGGGCAGAGAGACCAGCCAGACCACCTGCTACTCTAATGATCCACACACACATCCCCAATTAATGAGAGATGTTTTGGTCTTTAAAGGAACAGTCTCAGCTTGCTCTAACAGTGCAACGTCCAGAATGGTAGCCTCCAGCCACACATAGCATCGGAAATACGGCTGGTCCAAATGGAGATGTGCTGTGAGTATAAACTAGCCACCAGGTATTTAAGGCTTGATACAGACAAAAGACTGTAACATCCCTTATTAGTCATTTTTATATCAAGTGGACAATGAAATGGTAACATTTGGGATATATTGCATAAGCATGTTAAATTATAATAGCTATTATCTTTTAAAATGTGGCTGCACAAAACTAAAAATTTCTATTTATATGCTCACATTATATTTCTACTGTACACTGCTGCTTTAAAAGATACTTTGTCAGAGAGCCCATTCCTAGTGAGCTTGTATTTTGTTGAAGAAATCATAAACTTAAAGAAATTATAAACTCTGAATAGACAGAGAGGAACACAGGATCCTGCATGGGAAAAACGCAGATACCTGACACCACCAGCTGTAGTTAGCGAGGAGAGTAGACCAGTTGGCCACAAACCCACCCCTAGATTTCCTTGTATTTGATGTTGTTCTCTGAGGCCTCAAGTGTCAGTTTCCCCATCATTTCAATATGCAGGGAAGAAAGCACAGTAATGACAGCTAACATTATCCAGCCAAGAACCCGCTTTGACTATTCTGACTCTGTTCTGTCATCAAGAACTTTCTGGGTGCCTTGGGCTGTACTAATTACTTTATCTACTTCTGCATTAATGATGTGGGCACCCGACTGTCCCCATTTTACAAATGAGCAGGGTAAACAGATGGGACATAGAAGGATCAAGGTGGCAGAAGTTAAAAGAAGTGGGCCGTGAGGCACAGAGACTAGCCCCTGGTGTTGCCCCCATTTCTGGCTTGACCAGCAGGCGGATGCTGGCCCGGCGCCCGGGTAGGGGGGCGGCAGGAGGGCCCGGTCTCCTTGGTGTCCTCGCAGCAGACGTCTGGCAGCTCGCCTGTGTGTAGCACGTGCTCATTAAACATTTGTTGACTCGCCACCTGAGCCTTCTCCCTTCCCCCTCGCTTTCGTCACGCTTCTTCCCATGGCATCTTCCCGGGAGCTTTTCTCCGTTATGTTGCACTGTGATGGACGAAGGATGTTCGTTCCAGTCAAATGGACTCAGGTTGGGGGCCGAGTCCTGCTGCTTCCTGGCTGAGGAAGTGAGAGGAAGGTCCCAGTTGGTTTCCTCCCGCGCTCAATGGGGAGAAGTAGCACCCATCTCCCTAGCTGAAATGGGGACTTAATGACATGTTGAACATAATGAAACTGTGGACAGGCAGAAGGTTCTAGTAAGTAATCGGTAGTGTCATTATTTGTTCTTTTCTTATGGCCCTCCTCTACCTCCCTCTCTATTTTCCTGCCCTGATTCTCTGGAGCAGGGGGAGAGACTGATGACCCAGGGGACCGGGAACCAGGGATCAGAAAGGAATGGCTTCCTGCTGAGGTCCACTCTGACCTCCATCTCGGGTCAGTTCACTTCTTCCTCCACCTCTAAACTCCTTGAGCTCTAAAGATAGCCAGTGTCTTGATCTAGAAAGAGACTTTTCTTCTTAAGCAATTCTTTCTATGAATATTTTGAGGGCTTTTTTTCTTTTTTCAAGTATCTTTCTGTAATTAGCACGCCTGGGCAGCAACCATTTGGCAGCTGGTGACCTGCTTTGCACGTGCAGGTAGAAAACAGGACAGAAGCCCCGTAACAATATGATTTCAGGTGTGACTTTCCTCTAGCTCTCTGTTGTCAAGGCCCTACGAGCAGCCACGTGTCACAGGCACAGAGGGGCTGGCTGGGACACTTTCTTCCATTAGGGGGGAAGGTGCAGGCTTGGGGGAGCCCGACCTCGGGCTGGCACGCCTGGATTTCCTTTCCAGCTCCTGCGTTCAGGGGCAGGACGGCTTTGGGCAAATCCCCTTTCCTCTCTGGTGCCCTGAGGCCCTTGGTGGCAACTCCAGGGGAAGAGACTGTACTCTTCCTGATCTGTAGCTGGTCCCTCGGGCCTCATACAGTACCTGGCATATAGTAAGTACTCAGTATATGCTTGTTGAATCAACAATCCTCAGCAGTTTCAGCTGCGACCATCAATAGATGCTGCCGAGCCGTAAACATTTCTGGGGAGAGATGGGTGATAAGGGGACTTAACGATAATATGTGGAGAAGACAATGGCACCCCAACCCCAGTACTCTTGCCTGGAAAATCCCATGGACGGAGGAGCCTGGTAGGCTACAGTCCATGGGGTCGCTAAGAGTCGGACATGACTGAGCGGCTTGACTTTCACTTTTCACTTCCATGCATTGGAGAAGGCAATGGCAACCCACTCCAGTATTCTTGCCTGGAGAATCCCATGGATGGAGGAGCCTGGCGGGCTACAGTCCCTGGGGTCTCAAGAGTTGGACATGACTTAGCGACTAAACCACCAACCACTGGTAGCTCAGTCAGTAAAGAATCTGCTTGAAATGCAGGAGACGCAGGTTTGATCACTGGGTAGGGAAGATCCCCTGGAGAAGGGCATGGAAACTCACTCCAGTATTCTTGCCTAGATAATCCTGTGGACTGAGGAGCCTGGTGGGCTACAGTCCATAGGGTCACAGAGTCGGACACAACCAAAGCAACTGAGCACATTTGTGTCAGTTATTAGGACACCACGCTTCCATTGCTGGGTTCCACCCCTGGTCAGGGAACTAAGATCCCGCAAGCCATGTGGTATGACTGAAAAATAAAGACAAAGCAAAAAAACAGAATAGGAAAGTGGCTCAAAAATGATCAAAAGGAAGAAAGTATCCTAAGTATATTGAAAACAATGAATAGGCTATACATATTTAGTTTACTTTCTTGTTTAGTCTATAAGAGATGTTGCTTCATTTAGGATTGAGAGCAGGAGCCTGAAACCGAACTACGTCCGTTTATACATAAGGAGCATCTCATTTACAGGCTGAATTGTCATGACTGGGGTTATTCGGTTGGCAAGCCTGAGAAAGAGATTTCGTCTTCAGTGGCTTGCATACCTCTCTTAACGTGGGTGCCCCTGCAGGTGGGCGAGAGAGGCTGAGAGGGCCCGCAGACTTCGCTTGTGAAGCCCATTGACTCTCATCCCCCCCGCCAAGCCGACGCCTGCAGACGCGGCCCGAGGCCATTCGGGAGAGGTGAGCCCCTGGAAGCCTCCTCTTTCAGTGGAAATGGGGCTCACTGGAGCATTTGGTCCAGGAAATCGCTCCGTGTTCTCAGCACCTGATGAGTAATTAACAGTCGTTAATAACCTGGGGTTGAAGGTACATGGAATCCAGAATGCAAAGGAGAGCCTGGGCCTGAAGTGGCGAGCTCTCTCCTACAGTCAGGACAGGGCAGGATGGCAGTTTGGGTGCTTGCCTCAGACCTTGGAACCAGGCAGGCGTAACTCAACATCAGGCAGCACATGGAACAAGGTTGGACTGAGAAAGGACCGTTGGATTGGGCCCCGAAGTGCACAGATTCCCCTGGCTCTCCCTCCCACCTCCTTCCTGCTTCCTGGCTCTTCTGAATCTCTTTCTTTGTCTCTCTTTCCACACACACTTCCCTTCGGGGCTTCTCTTGTGGCTCAGCTGGTAAAGGATCCACTTGCAATGTGGGAGACCTGGGTTCAGTCCCTGGATTGGGAAGATCCCCTGGAGAAGGGAAAGGCTACTCACGCCAGTATTCTGGCCTGGAGAATTCCATGGACTGGATAGTCCATGGGGTCGCAAAGAGTCAGACACGACTGAGTGACTTTCACTTCACTTACACACATACCCCCAGCCACTCTGAGGACTTGCCAGAGCAGTGAGCTACCCACAGAGAGATGCAGAGAGAAACCACACGAGTAGAAGAAGCATCATCCTAACAGGATGATTTTCATCCTAACCCCTGTCGGATTTTACTTGGAATTGATGGGCATTGTCACATTTAATCCTTTCTATTTTCTAAAATGCTTCCCTGTGAGAGCCGGAGAGGGATTACTTCTCTGCACCGCCTTTCCCTGCTCCCAGGCGTGTTCTGGGCAGTGCCGGGAGAGAGGCTGGCCGCCCCGGCTGCCCCCACTGCCGGTGGGAGGTCAGCGCTGCCGGCTGCAAATGCCCAGGGCTCCCGGCGGCCAGTGTCATCCTGCCTCAGGCCACGCAGAGGCCAGGCCGGGGGGCTGCAAGAGACACGGCCCTCTGGGCGGTAGGGGCTGCCGCCGCAGAAAGCTTAATTCGAGGCCTCTTTCGTTCTGAGTGAGAACAGGTTCCTGCCCTGGGCATTGCATGGAACGGACACCACAGAGGGAGGGGAAAAAAAAAAACAGAGTTATGTTATTTTCTCTTTAGTCACAATTCTGTAACTAGAATTGCAGAGAATGTCTGAATCTGCCAGGGAGAGGCTGCATGGGCCTGTAGGACTTGGATGGGCTCTGAGTCTGGGGTCTGAACTGCCGGCCCCCTCGGCTCTCACACCTTAAGCCAGGCCTATTGCCTCAGCTTCCTCATCGTTAAGTGAGACGTATGGTGCAGATCGTGCCGCTGTCGGGGAAGAGGCTCTGTGAAAATGGGGCCCCAGGATCAAAGTGGTTGACAGCGCAGTCCATTCTAGTAATAGCCAACCCTTAAGTAGCACTTGGTTTTGACATAATAAATATCCTTTTTAATTCTTTGTCATAAAATTTGATATCATATATATGTGTATTTGATATAAAAATATTCATTCAATCCTTGTGGAGCAGGTGTTGTTGTTAGTCTTATTTTGCAGATGAGGTACAGAGAGGTTAAGTGATGTGCCCGAGGTCACACAGCTAGAAAGGGCAAACCTGGGCTCTTGCTTCTGAATCTGTGCTTTTCTCCAATCTGTGCCCCTCCATTACAATAGGGAGGCAGAGATCTGAGAAGTTTTGCAGCAATAAACCAATTTAATTTTGTTTATCCCAGCAATTCCCAAACTGATTTGACCAGAGAGCCCTCGGGAAGCATCAGAGTGTGGTGGCTGAAAACGCAGACTCAAGAGGCAGACCTGGCTGGGTTTGCAGCTTTCCATTCCACCTACAACTGTTATGACCTTGGAAAGTGAGCAACCTCTGAAAACGTCATAAAATCTATAACATGGGGACGATGATGATAATAGGTTTGCTGAGAGGATTAAAGGAACCAATGCATAAAAAGCGCTTTATGGAGTGCTTGGCTTATGGTGTGGGTGTCAGTTTTTACCACAGAAAGTTAGATAGATGGAGATATACGGGCTTCCCTGGTAGCCCAGGTGGTAAAGAATCTGCATGCAATGTAGGAGATTCTGGTTTGATCCCTGGGTCAGGAAGTTTCCCTGGCGAAGGGAATGGCAACCCACTCCACTATTTTGCCTGGAGAATTCCATAGACAGAGGAGCCTGGTGGGCTATAGACCATGTGGTCACAAAGAGTTGGACATGACTAAGCAACTTTCACTTTCATTGTAATATATCTGTATGTTACGTATGTAGACATAAGCATGCATGCCTTTATCTTTATGTATGCCTATATCTGTATATCATATAAAATTATATATTTATACATAAACTTTATATATAATTTTAAAATGTGATTCGTATGTAAATTTTATAAAATTTTAATAAATATCTATATATACTATATAGATGTAGATCCTGGAGGAGGGCATGGCAACCCACTCCAGTTTTATTGCCTAGAGAATCCCATGGACAGAGGAGTCTGGGGGGCTACAGTCCATGGGGTCACCCAGAGTCAGACACGACTGAAGCGACTTAGCACATAGATAGAGATAGATAGACACATACAAATACACATGTATAGAACATCTTATTGTAAGTCGGAAGAAAGAATACTCCTGAAGCACATTTTGGGAGATATTAGTCTCTCAATCTCTAAGTTCCCTCTTCTTTTTCTTTCCTCCTACTCTGATCCCTACTTCTGAGTTCTAAACTCCCTAAGATCAGATGAATGCATATGTGGGCATCCTGTGTGAAAAGGACTCAGGTGCTCAGGATGTTATGCCTGGAAGGGCTGGGGATAGAGATCATGGTGTCAGACTCGCTTGTTTCTTAGAGAGCTGAGACCTGGAGACGTTCGAGCCGTGTCTAAGGCCTCTGTCCATGGTGCCGTCACCGAAAAGCCAACGTAGCCGAATGAGTTCGCAGAGTTATGGGAAAGCATCTCATCCCTCTCTTGCCCGGGGATGGGGAGAGGCTTCAGTCCCCATGAGCTTTCAGAGCAGATCCCCGCAGCCTCAGGGTCGGTGCGCTGGGCTTTCCTGGAAACCTGTCCATGGCGTTCGAGAGCTCCCTAGCACCGCCTCTTCCAGCTGAGCTCCACCTGGCCTCTCCTTGATTTCCTTCCTGAATACGAGCCTTCTGTAAGATCCAAATAATATTTAAGGAAGGGTCATATGCTTCTTGGCCAAGAATATAGCTAAGACAGGTGGCGGGCCTGTTTGAGATACTTGAAGAGGTTGTTACTGTGGCATCAGGACAGTGCAAACCGTCTCTGAAGGCATTCCAGTCCCCAGACCCTACAGTCACCAAGGCTGACTTCTGCCCAGATGGAGACTTCCAGGCTAATGATCTGTCATCACTGTGCAAATAGTCCTAAAGCACCTTGCTCTTTCGTTCCTCCTGACCTGGGTCTCAGCAGTTCATGTCAGACTCTAGCTCCTCCACTGTGCCTGCCTCCTGAGTTTCACACCCTGCTGTGCTGGGTCGACCTCTGACCTTTGCCCTCTGTGGCTAACTTTCCACGAGTGTTTCGTGTTCCCCTTTCAGTGATTTGTTGCTGGAAATTGGCTGACCCCCAGACACCATAGTTCTCACCCCCTTTCCATCTGGATGGGGCAGAAAGCTGACTTTAGGCCAATGGGATGTGGGAGAGGTGATGCAAGCCCCCTGTGGGCCTGGACTATAGAAACCTCCCACGTGACCCCTGCTCACATTTTCCCCGTATGCTGGGTGGACACTGAAGCCCTGAGTAGCCTTGAAAGGTGTGTGCTGGGGCTAATGGACCCCCTGACAGCCTGGGACCCCGAATGACCATGTGGAGAAGAGTCCCACCTCCCTCCCTATTGCCCAGTGGCCTTTGTGTGAGCAAGAAATGAACTCCTGTTGTGTTAAGGCCCTGATGTGTCAGGTTGTTCTGTTACTGGAGCTAGGGTTCCCCAATACATATTTATACCCTTTCAACCAGTGATGCTCCCCATCTGTATTCAAGTCCACTGTAGCTCGAGTGCACCTCCGTTTCCAGTCCTCCCGGGCCGCCGACCTCAGTGCGCCGCGAGCTCTGCGTTGCTGGGCCTCGCGTCGGCACTCAGGCCGCTCCCTCCCTGCTGCGCCCGGGCTGGTAGCACTAATTGAAGAGGACAGGGACCTTGTTCTGTACTCATCGTGCATCTCCCAAAATGCCTCGCGTCAAGCCCAGCAAACAGTAGGCACTCAATCAATACTTGCTGATCGATCTCAGAGAGGCTGGAATGATCCATATCAAACTCCAAGCATCACCTGGGAGCTTGCTGATTAAACAGATGAATCTTGCAGCCTTCCTTTCACTCCAGCGACCCAGCCTTTGCTGCAGGGAGCCCCACGTCAGAGCCTCCAGGCTGCCGAGCCCTCCGTGTCGGCCAGTTCCTGGCTGACTTCCCAGGACTGAGGTGATCTGGGCCTTTCTCAGATGGCAGGGCATCCATCAATGACCTGTCGACTGAAGGTTATTCTTTGTTTTCTATGATCCTCCTGCTTAAAAAAAAAAAAACAAAAACCAACCCACAGTAGACCCCTCCCTCTAGGGCTGTTGCTTCTCTTTCTCTACATATCTGGGAAGACTGGACTGGAACTAACTTCCAGTTACTGTACCTGTATTTTAAAATATATATTCATGTTATAAAGTCTCTTGAAAGTGTTATGACGAGGGCCCTTGGAAACTCTGACCCAGAACTAAGGACTTGAACATTGGTTAGCCATATCGTTTGAACTTGGAGTTTTTGCTCTAATCCTGCAATCACTGACAGGTGTGAGAATTCAGCCATCCCAGGTAGTTGGAATTATGATGACCAAAAATATTTAGAATCACTACATGTAGTTTCATTCATGTATTCGTTTTTTCAGGTTTTTTTCTTTGTAGAAGAAGTAATATTTGTTTAATGAGATAATATGGCTAAAGCAAATAAAAAATTTTTTTTCCATGTCATGTGAATTTCTGTGAATCAAAGAACTTACTCTGAATATTTTGGTGTACATTTTTTCCAGGCTTTCCAATGATAAAATATACATTTTAAACATATATGCTATATTCCCTGGTGCTTAGATGGTAAAGATTCTGCCTGCAATGTTGGAGACCCAGGTTTGATCCCTGGGTTGGAAAGATCCCCTGGAGAAGGGAATGGCAACCCACTCCAGCATTTTTGCCTGGAGAATCCCATGGACAGAGGAGCCTGGAAGGCTATATTTCATGGTGTCACAAAGAATTGGACATGACTGAGCAGCTAACACTATCACCATACATACTGCTTTATAAGCAGGTTTTTACTTAATGTTTTTCTATCTTAAATATAAAAATTTTTAAATGGCTTCATAGGATTCCATTTTATAGAAACACACCATAGTCCAGAAAGCTATTGTTATCTTTTGTTGAATATTTAAGTCTTTTTCTGTTTGTTTTGTTTTGCTATTATAAATTCCTTGATGGACTTTCTTGTAAGCTTGCAAGCTTGGGATAAATTTTCTTAGGACAAATTCACAGAAGTGGAATTACTAGGTCAAAGGGAATGTAGATTTTAAAGGTGTTTGATACCTGGAGCCAGAAAGGTCACACAGTGTACCCTCCCACCACATTCTAGCTATTTTAAGTTTATTCAGTCGAATAGGTTTGTTTACGTGGATACAAACAGGGGAGAAGGAGGGGAGAAAGAATGTAAACAGTTAATGTATTTTTAAAGCTGTTTATCTTAATCCAATCTGCTCTGGTTGAATTCTGCTGCTCTTTACAACAGACTCGTGGGTTTAGATCCAGTTTTTGTCTGATGCAGGGTTGCCAAACATCTGAAGCCATCCATGTGCAGGAGGATAAAGGAGATGGGTTTGTTTTCAGTGTAATTCAAATGGGCACCAACCCGGAGATCTGGAGAGTCCTGGGTGTCGCGGTGTGTGGGCGGGGAGGTGTGCAAGTTCATTTTGTTGTTCACAGCCCCTTGAGTCAAGGGCCCGTCGTTTCAGTAAGGAAAAAAGAAGAAATCTGCTTGTGAGATGCTCAAGAAAAAGTAACAGCCAGGTGACGTGTGGGTTGTTTTCTCTTGCCAGGAAGAAAGTGGAGCTGGGAAGAGCTGCGTTCGGGAACTGGCTTTTTAGTGCATGCAGATGTATGAAAATTCTTCTACTTAATGTGTCAAAAAAATCTCTTTTCAAAGTCAGAAATAGAAACCGTTAATATCGCCCCCTCTCCTCCCTGCCATGCTCCCTGCTCCTGTCTGCCTCTTGACTCCCATGCTGCCAGGATGCTGTTGCGTGGGGAGAGGGCCGCTCGGATCCATGGTGGGCGCAGATGCTGCTCGGCAGGAGTGCTTCTGCCTGTGGACAAGACCCTCCACCCTGCCCAAGGTCACCTGTCCTGATTAGCTTGGCCCCTGAGGGAGGAAAGGACTTGGCCTGCTAGGGAATCCCTGAGCAGGATCACTTTTGGAAGTGGGGCTCCAACTGCGGTGTGGAAAGGAGCTGAGCTTCAGGTTAAACGCGATCCCAGGAGATCCAGTCCCTTGTCCAGACTATGGGTTTGTGCTTCTCCAAAAAGAGGTTTGAAACAGTGTCACGCAAGGGAAAGAGGACTGTAATTGAGCCAGGAGTCTGGGGTGATGACTTTGCCCTAGTCAATCGCTCTGAATCTCAGAGTCTTAGTACATCAAACGGTGACAACAGGGCTGCTGGTGAAGATCATATGGGCTAATCCTTCTGGGCCCACTGACTCTCTGATAAAAATACCCCTTGAATTTCCAGTGCAAGTTGTCTCTCCCATCATTCCCTACTTGGTACTCTTATAGCACACTCTTGGGCTTCCCAGGTGGTGCTAGTGGTAAAGAACCCACCTGCCAATGCAGGAGATATAAGAGATGCAGGTTCAATCCCTGGATCAGGAAGATCCCCTGGAGAAGGGCATGGCAACCCACTCCAGTCTTCTTGCCTGGAGAATCCCATGGACAGAGGAGCCTGGTGGGCTACAGTCCACAGGAATGCAAAGAGTCGGACATGCCTGAAGTGACTGCACGCATGTGCACAGCACACTGTTAATATAGCTGTTACCGCACTGAGGGCTGACATTTCCATAGTTTGTATCTGCTGCACTGCCGCGTCAGTTAGGATGATGCTAGTGGCCGTGATGAATAAAACCCTTAAATTTGAGAGCCTTAGCTCAACCAATGTATATTTATCAATTACTTGATTGGTGAGCACCTTCATGAAGGAATCCAGGGACTTGGGTTCCTGCTGTCCTGTGACTCTGTTATCCACTAGATCCTTGGAGTCATTTACATCCAGCCAGAAAACATGGGATGAATGTATGGAGAATGTGCACTTGCTTCTTAACTATCTTGGCTTATGAGTGACTCATATGTCTTCCGCTTACATCCAGCCAGAAACCATGGGATGCATGTATGGAGAATGTGCACTGCTTCTTAACTATCTTGGCTTATGAGTGACTCATATGTCTTCCGCTTACATCTCATTGGTGAGAACCATCAGATGGTTCCAACTAGATGCAAAGAAAGCTGGGAACAACGGTTCTTGGCTGGGCACCTGCATGGGAGACGACTCTCTTCAATGCAAGGGCGAGTCTTAACCTTTGCTGGACAGTGAGCTGTCTCTTCCACATCTGGGGTCTCTGTGAGGGCAGGAGGCTGTCCTCCCTAGGTCCAGCATCCAGCATCATTCCTGACACAGATGTGCAGTCCAGTAGTCTTGCCTCGTCTGTCTATTTGATTCTTGAAAACTTAGCCACACAGAGAAAGAGAGGGAGAGAAGCCTCAGAACAGAACCTGTGATTTTGTTTACCAATTCCAGGCAACTGGCAGACAGCTAGAAGACGGGTCTGCCAGCTGTGGGTTGTGGGTCATCCCCTGCTTGTTGCCTGTCCTTATAAATGAATTTTTGTGGAAACACAGCCATGGTTTCATTCATTTACCTGTTGTTATGTCTGCATTCCTGCTACAGTGGCAAACTTGTTGGGTATTTGTGATAGCGACTGCAAAGCCTACATATTTACCATCTGTCCCTCTTCAGAAAAACTTTGCCAACTCCTGCTCTAGAGAAAGAGTTGAGAAGATAGACTTGAACCTGATGCCCTTTTGTTAGTTTTTGTCCCCTTGAGCACCCTGGGAGAGAGCATCTCATTGTGCCAAATGTGATTATCAGCCCAGCATTTAAAGATACGTGTTTTTAATACAACATAGTGTCCAAATGCAAACCAACTACTTGGCAAATGCATGAACTATGTATATGGTACTTTATGGGTTCTTTACAAAATGTTTAAGGTTCATGTTTATCTTACACACTTCCTTACAGCTTACAGCTTTTTATGAAATGTAGCTTCACTGTAAAGGCATGTTGAATGAGTGCCCAAGTGAATGTGATAACCCTTTGGGAAGTTAAAGGAATCCTACATATCACAGTATTACTGTTACTTTCATTTCTTATTATATTTCAGGAAATACAGATAGCCCGTATCTGATAGATAACCCATCCGATTCCAAGGGGAATAATCTCTGAACCCCAAAATGCTCATTAGAAGTTTATATCCTGCTGATTTTCTGATTGATTGCCTCTCTCTTCTTGGTTAGTTCATTTTCACAAACAGAAAAGAATAGCTAAAAAAAAAAAAAAATGGGTGGGAGCATTACAGACACTCTGACTTGCAAATAGTGAAAGAGTTTTGGGCATCTAAACGCATGCCCCGCTGGCAACAGTATCTTACTGGCTTCCTTCTCTTCCTTTGCTCAATTCTCTGCCCTCTCACTGGTGCTTCCTGGGCTCACCTCCCAAATAAACCATTTGTTCTCAGACCCTCATCTCAGAGTCTGCTTCTGGGGAATTCGAACTAAGATAGCTTCTCCTTTTGAAAATTTATTTTGTTGTTCAAACTAACCATTTAATATGGACTCTTGGACATACAGAAGGAAAAGAAAAGTGGAAAATTTTCCAAATTGCAGACTTTCCCAACCTTAAAACCTTTCATGTAAAGAAACCAAAGAACTAGCCAAGGAAAAAAGAAGAGAAGAATACAGAATCAGACATCCTCAAGTTTAGGGACACTTATGAAGCACAGTTATGCTGATATAACATGGAGAATTATAAAAGTTATTTCTTCAA